TCTTTTGACTTCCATCGTCAATATCTCGCTAATATCATATAATTGAATCATTCAAATTAATATTACCAATACCTGTGGAATTATCTCATCTGTCCGATTGTGATATTACTTTGCTTGTTTATAAGTCAAAAGTGACAGTTACGTTATATCAAGGTATACCTGTACCTCAAAAGTTGGTAGATAGCGCTCAAGGGTACATTTCATATTTCATATTCATATATTACAAAGCAAAATTCAAAAGATATCGCTTTTGGCAGGTGAACCGGTACTCACCTAGTCAACGACCGAAAAGGTGCTACTTGTACAATCACCGAACCTACAACAATACCTCGGCTCGATTAACCCTCCCAGCAAACGAGAAAACTAAAAAAGGCATCTCTAAATACGCACACACAAACGTCTCGCAAGGGATGACTTAATTCTCGACAGCCGATCCCTTTACCCTCGGATTCACCGTAACGTGATTTGATGCCAGAATAATTGGAAGATAACGAACCGCCAACCCGCCAACGACAACTGTGACGAGCTAAGCCTATACGTGTACATTCTTGTGTCGCATGCGAAGCTGCCTACCTACCGCTCACACGCCAAGTAGGATTAATCCCCCGTTTCTGCGATATAATCTTGCCGTGGTAGGTACCTAGGCTTAGGCCTATCTATTTCAAAAAGGGTCAGGTGACGGACGGATGGGGATTGCTCATTTGCCTGACACAAGATATTCTCGAGTGCGTAGAAGAAATTTTAATCCACTCTCATATCCACACTTTTTGGCTTCCGCTCTGCTTCTCGCATCAACAGCTGATTGCGTTGGCGTGTGTTCATTAGGGTCGTTCAAATTTGGGAAATGTTCCAAAATCCTAGCTGGTAGATATAACTATACGAAGGGATGTGTCCATCAGCCAAATTGGCAGAAATGAGGGAAGTTTGTATGAACATTAGTACTGTAATATAGGGGAAAATGTATCACTATTTAACGTAAATATCTAATTGAATTTCTACAATGAACTAAATTGAAAAACTAATGGTATTTAAATCAGGAAGTATGAGGGCTCCATCGTCCTGCATGATTTCTCATAATATTGGATGTTTGGTTAATTCTTAGGAAATTTTTCTAAATCTTAAATTTGAAAATATCGATATGGGGTGAACATTTAAGTAAGGTTGACATATTCTCTTCATCGACTTTCTCTTTGTATTCCCACGGCCATGTAAAGACATTCCCAGGTATTTTCAGCACACAGATCGATAAAAGAAGCTTTTATCTAGCATCTAATACGACAAACACAACAAGAAACGGTTATGTGGTCAAGTTATTAACGAAAGAGATAGTCGACGAAGAGAATCGATCAATGTTACTTAGGACCTAATGCAATGTTCAGCTTGGAATGTGTGAAAAGTATTTTCAGCAGAAACGCCAAAAAACAAAGGTCTTAAATGCATATTTGCGCCTAAATGTAGGCAATTTCGTTAAGCAATACCGAAACACATCGTAGCACACTGATCGGCACGTTAGGGCACTCGATGATAAGTATGAGATAGTTGACATTTTGTTGAGTTGACATTTTGACAAGCGTTGCTAACGTAGAAAACGTTTGTTTAGTTCAAATTAAAGGGGAAGTTTTTTTAGATTATTTTTTTTTTTGCAGCAATCATAATGAAAGGTTACACAATCGGAAGGATTCATGTTTTGGGTCAGAATAGGCCTGCTTACGTATAAACCCCAGATGGCAATAGGATACGGACTGAAAGCAAATTGAATAAACTAGGATAATTCAGAATCCAGTTTCAATTGCAGCATTGATGTACGGTGTCAACAACAACCCGGTCCCACCACTCTGCAGACGCAAATGCAACTGTAACCGCAGCAGAGTCTCTCGCAGAACCACTCCATTCTATGGACTGAACGATCTCGGAGATTCGATTGACTGTGGCTGGTGCCATCAGTAGATCTTGTATTAGCAACATTAAAAAGGATGCTGCTAACAGAATTCTGAAGGTACATCGGAGGTAACGGAGCCCTCGACGAAGCCTATCTGAATCGCGGTAGTTATGTTTGTGTTGTTAAAAAACAATCTCAGTGATTTCCTGGGTCTCCTGTTTATTTATTAAGGTGTTCAAAAGTTCAAAACCATGGACGCAGTCGATTGACTCTCCCAGCAAAACATGTTTAGCAAACTTAGATGAATTCAGTACCCAAAAGTTAAAGCTAACACTAGGAAGCAACTGAAGATCTATTGCTGCTTCTTCTATCGCCAGTGGGAGTTTTAGGTCAAATCCTTCTTGATTTCTAGGTTGTAGCATTGTCCGAGTACCATGATATGATAATGCAGAGGTACATTTTCCCGTTGCCGGGTGGGTCATAAGTACAGGTTTCGGCGAACGTCTACTAGAGTGAGACACAATAAAGAAATGTCTTGTCCTGGATGGACAGCTTTTGCCATCACTCACCCTTCTCTTTCTTGTGGAGGAGTTGAACTTACCAAGGGGGGGGGGGGGGAGGTGGCTGTCAAATACGAACAATCGTCGCCTACCTCGCATAACTGGTTCCAAACGTAAACAAGCCATAAGAAACCTACAGCGTTTGTTTACGTTTGGAACCAGTTTCATACAAGATGATCAGTAGGCTGATTTGACAGCACATCCCCCCCAGGAACTTATTGGTTGGCAACGGTCAGCGTACACTGGCTAACAGTTCCAGCAGTTACCGACGATCTCGCGCTTACCAATCTTATCACTCGTTTGGCATCGTTAAAGCAAGAGGAATGAATGTTGTACAAAGAGCAATTCACATTCGTGTTATTTGATGCACGTTTAACAGCGTTTTAACAGGACACGCACAGTGATTGCCCTCGTATATACTATGCAATATACACAGATATAGCTCGTTTAACCATCCATGAGAACTTGGCAATGCAAACAAACAATGTCAAAAGTCATAGCTACCAGGTTGCCAAACTCATGGGATACTGAGATCGATAGCTTGGTTGCCACTTCGGCACACTCAGCCCAACGCTTGCCTCAGCTTTCGGCACAGATAAAGTTCTCGGTACAGATTGGGGTGTGCAGAGTTGAATATCCCTTGGAAAAAATCCTATATTTCTTAATATTTGAAACAATCTACCGTAATTTATTAAATAATTCGGATTCATTGACACTTAATTTAGTAATAAATGCGAGGGGTGCGGCACATCTAAATCCCAATTTTAGAAGGTCGAAAAATCTCGCGCTAGCGAATCAATCTACAAAAAATCTTTTTTCATCTCTTGCATCTAAGTTCATCTATTCACATCGCTCTCCACCTTTTTGTAGGAAATCTTCAAAATCCTCATCAATCTTCTCTCTATCTATTAAGCGCGCACGCATCACACAACAGCAAAGCAACAAAAATCCTGCATCTTAGATAGAGTCGCCCCCCTCGAAAAAATGCTACTTGAATGGTAATGACATCAATCGTTGCAGTCCTACCCAAGTAACATTGTAAGTTTTATTGAGGTTTTAAAGCACTCTACAAGTCTAAATCATGGTCTACAGTACCCTCATAAAACCCAAATTGATACTTGGGTAAGATCGTTTGTTTGGATGTTGATATTGTATGTTACTTAACGTCAATAACATATTTTATTTGTTATGAAAAACACATTAAAGCAATCATTTGAGTCTCATGATGATATAATTTTAAGATTTCTCTTGATATCTGTCAACGAAAATGTTACACGTAACAATGAGAAGCGCAACGTATAATGACCAATTTCACCCCGGTGATCAATTTGCTCCCGGATTATGGTATTAGGTATGAGGAATACAAAACTCGCTACAAAATTCATTAGTACATTTTAAAAATGTGAACGACCCTAATGTTTATTATTTGGATTTACATTGAATATTTGCAGCTGTTTCAGGGTGTAATTCTAAGCTAACACAAGCATTTTACAAATTGAGAATGTCACTTTCCTGCAATATTGAATACAGTAATCCCATCATTGATGCGGTTGGTTGTACCGTTCTCCCACTGGTATTTCTCTGCTTTTCTTAAATCAATTGAGCTGATTCTTTTGCATACAAATAGTTTAGGATTATCTTCGATAAAACATACCAAAAATCAGCGTAATTGGTTGAAGGACAGCCGAGAAAAAAAATCGAGGGATTGCTGTACACTGGAAAGTACAACGCTCAACTATCTTCCCAAAAATACAATTAGGTAACATTGGACCCACTAATTTGAATGAGCATATCAACAGCAATCAATTACAATCGGAAACACATGACGCTTGCAGCCTTTGTCACCACCGATCGTCGCTGTTTACATCCACTGCCGTGTCCTCTACCCGTAAATTTCCGCACTAATCTACACGCCGTCGTATCGTCAACAGAACGCAGAACCTGTAACAGCCATTCATTGTGGGAAAGTTGTAAATCACTCGGAAGTGTCGTGTGCGCCTCCCTCTTTTCCCAATCTGTCTCTGTCTGTTTGTTTGGCTACATATAGATCGTGCTACAACGAGCTTGGCATAGTTTAGTCCCAAGCCCATGTCATGCCTATACAATACAGATAGCCTCTCATCCCATCCACCGCACACAGCAGCACATGATGTGATGTGAGATCTTGGTGCGAAATGTGACACTGACTGCTGAAATAGAAGGAACAACCCATCAACACTTCACCCGTCGTCAGCACTGCCGTCGCAACCGTATAACCGCTCTAGGACTGTTGTTGGTGGGAATAGTTCTAAATGAGCAGGATCAATTTCAATTAATGCGTTCAACTTGGCTCCATCTGGCAAAGATTAATATTTCTTATCTTGAACTTTCGTGATACCATCCATGCCATCTTCTTTGTAAATACACAAACACACACAAATTGCAAATTAATCATCGCATACTGTAGAAAGTTTACTCGCATATCACAAAGCCATTCCACTAATTTTACAACACTCGCCCCCGGACACACAAAACGCCGCAATGTAGATAAATCGCTTGTGCAACATTTTCCTCCATTCAACATGACGCGCAACACTCGTTTTCCCCGGGAGCAGTGCAGCAAGGTGGTAAGTATCGTAGCAACGTCTCACGATGCGATGTGAGAGCAACAACACCGATGGTGGTAAGCTCCAACCGGTATTATCCTCCGATTAAATCCGGCTGCTTTGATGTCGACATCAGTGTCAACCAACAGCAGCCTGAGCAAACATTTCGCAGATTATCCAAACAGGGACGACGGTGTTAAAAGTTAATCCGAGTTGGAGCTTACCGCCACGAGAGACGGACAGGGAAGCAGCAAAAGTTTCGGTACTTCACACGGGAATTTGTAATTCTATTTCTCCTTTAAAAGCTAATTCGCGTAGATATGCACCGCTCTTTAACCTTTCTACTTGCAGCACCCGTGTAGATACTGTGTTCATCTTATCACCTTCTTCTTCCAGCACGTAGTTTGCATTGATTTAAAAAAATACTAGAGATTAGACTATTCAATCGCTGTTTGCAAAACTAGACAATCGGATTGGACTTCGTCCAACTGGAGAAGGTTAGTATCGCTGTAGTTTGTAAATAACCAAGCGTTTACAATTTAGTTTAATTGCTAATCCATTGTGTAGATGCTGGATGATTGATCCAGCTGTGATTAATCCTAATCCAAAAATAATAATAGCAATAACATCATTCCGATATTGTATTTAAAAAAAAGTTAAATGTTTTTTTGTTTTGATAAAAAAAAAACACTCCTATAGATGCAGATCTTAAGTTAACTCAGAGACGAAGGAAAATGATAACCTTAAGTTATCGGAATGCCGTAATTGAATATCACATTTCAAATTGTTGGATGTGCAGTAGGTGGATTAAAGTGCTTTGTGTTAAGTAGCAAAAGGAATGCAATGATGAGAGCTTTTTTGATTTTTGGACACTGCATCAAAGTTGCGGAAATCAGTGTTGCCAGATATAGTGATTTATCGGTAACAACACACTTAGAAATATCTAATTTTACACGTGAGGAATCCATCTTTGACATAAAGGATGAGATGTAAACCGATATACAGATAAGGAATAGCTCAGAATACCGATTTTTGATATTTTATACCGATTTGTACCATTTTTTTTTCTAAATGATCAATATTATTATAGCCCTTCCGCACTCGAATTTAAGAGAAAATTATCGTGAGTAACTGAATTTGTTGAGCCTTTAAAATTCTCAAAAAAATATTCATCTTTAAAAATGTCTTATGCTTGATCACTAGCGTGCACAGGAATCTTGTTAAGGAGGGGCAATTTTTTTTCTATGGTGCTTTAATCTGGGGATGGGGAGTACTCCAAAGTGCGTGGGGGATAGTGCTGTCCACCCACCACTGTTTCCCTGCTGTTCAATTTAGTTAATTTTATTTATTTTTTCCTCCGGTGGTGGTTCATCTTCTTCAATGCCTTTCAGACAGCCAATGGAAATTGGCCATCGACGATGTCGGTGATGATCGGTTCGTCAAATGGTTGCGATAGTAGGGCTTTAACCGAAATGATACATTTGCTGCAATGTTGTTGTTCAGTCTGTGGTGTTGAGTACTTGGCACTGATGAAGTCTGCAAGTATAATAGTAGATAAAATACGCATATCTGTCAAAATATAAGCAATCATAACGGAATTAAAAAGAAATAAACCAACACACTCAAAGCTCTTCATAAAAGTATATTGCTGTTTTTGTTCTTGCACTTGGCTTGTACTTCAGCAGTGCTGCCAGCCATTGTTCTGGCACCGTCAAAACAGACTGCCATCACCTGCTCCCAAGAAATCTGCATCGCTGTCAGGACCTCAGCAATAGTATTGAAGATGGTCGTTGCGTCTGTTTTCAACACCCGTCCCACACCAACGAATGTTTCCGTCGGCCGATCATTATCAATATATCTGATGACAATCGCCAACTGCTCGCAAGGTTTTCGCAATGTTCCGCAACATTACATTCAGTTACCTTGCTCTTTTGAAATTCTTCTCAGAAGTCATCTGGAATTATTTTTTGAACTTTTCTTGACTTTAACTCAGAACACCTTGGAACTGAAATTCCCTTAGAGTTTCAGAAGAATTTCCTGAGTATTATCCAGAAATTATTCCCGGAATAAGCTAGAAATTATCAGTACTCTTTGAAGTTTTCCTCAAAATCCCTTTAAAATTTCACTCAAAATTTAATTTTCTCGGTATTTTATTCGGAACAATCTGCAGGATTCACTAGAAATCATTCGCAGAATTTTCTTGGAACACTCCACAGAAATCTTTTCAGAAATCAATATCCTTCTTCTCGGATTTTGTTGGAAAACTCCTAAGAGCTCTTTTGAAATTCTTATTAGAACTGACATTCCTTTAGAGTTTCAGAAATTTTTCCTGGAATGAGCTAGAGATTATCCTCTGAATTAACTTGAAATTTTGCTTAAAATCCCTTTGGAATTTCACTCAAAATTTGATTTTCTCGGTATTCTTTTCGAAATTATCTTGGAACTATCTGCAAGCTGCATTAGAAATTATCCACAGAATTTTCTTCGAATTCTCCCCAGAAATATTTTGGAACTGTCCTAAGAATTCAACATCCTTGAGGTTCTTCTCGGAATATATTGGAACTTTTTTTTTTCTCATAACACATTGGAATTGAAATTCCCCTAAAGTTTCAGAAGAATTTCCTCCGTATTCACCAGAGATTCTTTTCAAGAATGAGCTTGAAATTATTCTAGGGATTCCCTTGAAATTTTCCTCAACATCCCTTTGGAATTTCATTCAAAATTTGATTCTCTCGGTATTCTTTTCGAAATTATCTTGGAGCTATCTGCAGGATTCACTAGAAATTATTCGCAGAATTTTTATGGAATCATCCCCAGAAATCTTTTCTTTTGGAACTGTCCTCAGAATTCAATACTCTTGAGGTTCTTCTCGAAAGTCAAGTTTAAGTTGTCCGTCTATTCACCAAAACGTTGTAGTTTTTCTACCAGAAATGTTCCATAAAGCTTGCCCCTCCATTCACCAGAACTGTGCAATTGTTACTCCAGGAATTTTCAATTCAGCTTGCCCTTCCATGCAGCAGATTGTTGCAAATCTTACACTAGAAATTTTCAATACAAACATGCCCCCAGAAAATTTTACAACAGAAAATTTCAATTGACCAGAACGATGCCAATTTTCCAACTTTAATGTTCAATAAAAATTGCTTCTCCAATCTTCTGATTGGTGCAGATTTCCTTTTTTCCATTTTCCACCAGACATTTTCAATATAGCTTGCTTCTCCTATCATCAGAAGGTTGCAGGTTTTCCATCAAATCAAGCTTGCCCCTATTTTCAAATTTTTCATCATAAATTTTCAGTAAAGCAGCTTCCCATTCAATCATCAGATGGTGCAAATTTACACCAGAAATTATTATTAAAGTTTGTTTCTCTATTCAGCAGTAGGATGCAAATTTAAGACCAAAAATTTTCAAAAAACTTGCCCATAGGTGCAGATTTTCCACAGCTCCTCCTGATCCAAGTACAAGTTCGTGGTCGTTGGTGAACCTGAGATATCGAAGTATCCGTTTCGTTTCCATCCAATCCGCTTGTGATGGGCAGCTCACCGGGTGGAGTGTTTACTGCCACGTACAACAAACCACCAACCAAACTTGAGTACTGGTGATTGTTCTGCAGTCGCTCGTTCTCCTCCTTTTGTTGCAGGTGGCCAGGGTCCAAAGGAATCTTCGATGACTTTGCGTCAGTCAACCCAAAACGCTCCAACAACTTCTGGATGTAAGCCCGCTGTTTGAGAGAAAACTCCTTCTCGTTGCGTCGTACTTGGATGCCCAGGAAATGGCGGATGTCTCCCAACGATGTTACCGTAAAGCTACGGTTAAGGGCTGCGATGAACTCGTTGTACTCCTCTTCGGTGTGGCAAGCAATGACCATATCGTCCACGTAGATGACTAAATACGCGAATTGCTTGCCTTGACGTCGCACGTACGAACATGGATCATTTTCTGACTGTGTGAAACCAAAATGCTTTATTACGCCGTCCAGTTTCTTGTCCCAAACATGTCTCGCTTGTTTGAGGCCGTACAAGCTTTTCTGCAACAGACATACCGCATCCACAGCACCAGCTTCGTAGCCTGGCGGTTGCCGCATGAAAATCGTTTCGTCCAGATCGCCGTGGAGATAGGCGGTCTTCACGTCCACATGTTTCACCAGCATGTTCCACTCACTGGCAATCGTCAGCAGTGTGCTAAATGTTACCTGCCGCACCACCGAGGTGAACACTTCGTCGAAGTCCGTTCCATACTTCTGAGAAAATCCTTGCGCAACCAGACGCGCCTTGTACAGCATTTAGAGATAAACTAGCCTAAGGCTAAAAATCTCTGAAATAAAGTTAAAAAAAAACCTTGTACAGCACAATGTTGCCATCCTCATCGAGTTTGCGCTGGAATATTCATTTACTGCCGACTGCTTTGCGTTCTGCGGGCAGTTTCGCTAGCTTCCAGGTACCATGTTCCTTCAACGATTTGATCTCTTCATCCATCGCCGTACGCCACTGTTCCGCCTCTGGCCCGTTCATTGCCTCAGCGAATGTCCTTGATTCCGCCACAAGCCTGCGTGCCATTCTAGTGGTTTCTGGATAACGAACCGGTATCTGTCCCCTCGTATTTCTGGTCGAACGCCAGAGTGGCGTTTCCACAGCTGCAGTATCGCTTTCGTATTCGTTGCCCTCATCGATGCCGTTGCGATAAGTCATAGGACGAGGTATCTCACTCACACTCCTCCTGAACCGGCTCGTCATCATCGGATTCTTCTTCCTCTTCTGGAGTTTCCTGCGATACTTCAGACTCGTATTCCATAATACTCGGTGACGTTGAACCCTCGTTTTCGATATCATCCTCCAATTAAATGAATCGAACATCACGGCTGATTACGACCTTCTTCGTTGCTTTATCGATGAACCGGAACGACTTGTGACACTCGGAACAACCGACGAATGTTAACTTCTACGCCTTTTCGACAATCGACCGGTTTTTCCTCTCCACGACTCCGTTTTGCTCCGATGCATATCCCGCCGTATACTGGGGCGCTATTCCATTCTCCCTGTAGAATCAAACGCTTCGATTTATTTTCGCCTCCCTGGTCCGAGCGAATAACCGTTGGATTTATTCCGAATCGATTGTGCACCATACACACTAATCCAGTCAGTAAGGTTTTACTGGGTTTTTGAATTGCGGAACTGTTCACGTAATCCTCTATTATTTCCGCAGCTTCCGACTTTCTCTTGAGGAAATACACCATGGTGTATCGACTGAAATCGTCAATCATCGTAAGGAAATATCGTGCACCGCCAGGCGATAGCGTGTTCATTGGACCGCAGATATCCGTGTGCACTATATCCAGAATCCTTGCTGATTGTCGATCGAGTTTTCTTGGAAACGGTATTCGAATTAGCTTGCCTTCGACACAGCACTCACATGTCTTGAACACTTCACACTTGTGAATGGTCACGCCCGTCGCCAAATTCTCACACAGCCCACCAATTTTCTTCGCTACGGCTACTGCGACTCCGTTACGTTGGATCACGCAACCACGGCAACCAGAGAAAACAACCTCTGGTCCATTGACAACCAGTCTTCCAACAGAAATCAGGTTCGATTCCAAATTTGGAACGTAGTACACGTCGGACAGGATAACTTCTTGCTGTTCTCCTTCCTCGTTTTGGCAAAACATGCGGCCAGATCCGATGCTTTTCACCAACGTCTCGTTTCCATCGGCCAGCGTGATGGAAATCCCCGAGCTTGGCTTCAGCGAATCAAAGCAAAGCCCAACCTGGTATGCGACACAGTTTTTAGATCCGCATTTTAAAAAATGATGATGTACTAAAACAACTTTCATGCTATTTGACAGATATCAAAACGTCATTACCATTTTCACCCAATTCTTTGGTGCAAGCAATGTAAATATTTACCTTATTTGACAATACCCAGGTAATCATGACGTGTGATTATTGAAAACAATTTGAATGAAGAAAAGAGACCTACTGCTGTCATGATTACCTTTGTTTTGTCAAATAAGGTAGGTAAATATTTACATTGCTTGTACCAAAGAATCGCCATCTGTGAGACAATCGTCACTTTGATTCACCAATATGATCCACAACAATTTTTTCACAACCTTTTTCGCTAGCAAAATTTCAGTTCACTATGAACTAGGCTTAAAATTACAATTATTTTCATTACCAAACTTTACGACATCTCTGATTTTTTTTCCAACCCTAGAAATCAGCCTGATCGTAAAAGCAGGACAATACGTGACTTCTAACAAAATGTCTTCGTCTGATAGTTCCTCAGATCTGCATCTATAAAAGCTGTTATTCGAACATAAAGTTGTAAAGCCGTTTTGTAAATAATGTTTGCATCATCCGTTCAAAAGAACATGAATTGATAAATTGTAATAATGAATCATTGCCATTCCCCCAACAGCCACACTAATGCCTTCCTTATCTTACCTTTTCCAGTCCGATCCTGGTGATCGCAAAGTACGAGTTCGTGGACTACGTCAACAACAAGAAGATGCCGATGTGCCTCACTTCGGTGGAAGGCTTCTGGAACGCCTCTTTCTTCGTCGCCAGCATCGTGGTATTCTTCATCGTGCCGCTCCTGATCCTGGTGATGCTCTACTCCGTTATCGCCAAGAACCTAATGGACAATCCCGGCATTATAATGTCCAACGCCAGCGGAAACCGGAACAATGTGCTCAAATATCGAAAGCAGGCCATCTTCATGCTGGGCGCCGTCGTCGTGAGCTTTTTCTTCTGCTTGCTACCGTTCCGTGCCCTGACCCTCTGGATCATCATCGTACCGAGCGAGAGTATCGTTTCGATTGGGATGGAGCGGTTCTACATTCTGGTGTACTTCTGCAGGATTATGCTCTACATGAACTCGGCCATCAACCCAATATTGTACAATCTGATGTCGTCAAAGTTCCGCAATGGGTTCCTGCAGCTGCTGGGCTGTGGCAAGATAATCCGTTCGGATAGTATGTCTTCCGGTGCGAGAAAAGGTACGTTCCACACGGCATCGACAAATCTCAGCAGTTCGCACAACAGTTCCTGCCAGAGACGGCTGACCAGGGAGGGAAGCAGCGTGAGTGGAAGCATCCGGGCGGTGACGGAGTACAACAGTAGCAGAAAGCGGTTGCTCTATCAACGGCACAACAGTACGATTTCAATCAAATCTTCCCATGATGATCAGAGCGGTAGTGGCGGAGGGTCGGTACCCGGAGTCAGTTGCACACTGGAAACGACTCCGCTGAAAACGGACAAAATTGACGAACTTGAAGAAACGACAAATTCACTGCCAAATGGTTACGGTTTCCATAGATTTAAGCACGCCACCACTGGTGGCGATAGTAGTAATGTTAGCTCTAGGACTAATAGCTGTAACGGTAAGACTAGTCATCGGGTGAATGGAAGTGTTTCGGTAGAACCGAAAGTCGTTCCCCACACGGACAATAAATATGTAATTGTAAGAGCCGCGGTAGTAGTGATGCGAGAGGTCCAGGAACAGCCCGGAGAGGGAGAGGAAAGCGGAATGCCCAAATCTTCGTCGTCGGTAGAGCCGGATTCGACGGAAGAAAAAGTAACGCTGATTCAGAATACACGCGGAAGCGAACAAATAGTGTCTATCATCACTGCCAAAGAGCGAACCAATGGGAACTATGTGAATCAGGGACAAAGGGTCGATGGGAACGGGGGAGATGAGAGAGACAAGTCGGACCTGAATGATGAGGTAGCTTTTGATGATGAGATTACTAAGATAAGGCAGTTTTACGGCTCGATGGAATGTGATATCTAGGCAGAGCAGAGCGAAGCACGTTTTTTGATATTCGGGCTGTCTCTTGAAGGATGGGAGGAGCTAAGTAGTATTTATATGCGAGCCATAACAGAAAAAGAAACTCCATAGTATTGTGACTACATTCTATTTACTGTGTAAGCTGGACGAAAATCAGTTTCTGTAATAAAATTGTGTTTGACATGAGGAGAGTGGTTTGATTGATAGTTCCGAAACAGCTCCAGATGGGTTTAGCTACTTGCTTTGATCACGGGAAATTTGTTTGATTACATTTGTCTTTCTAAACGACTGTTGTAAGTACGGACGGTTTGCTTGGCTCCCTGGGCGAGAGCTGCCTGAATGCTTTGTTGCATGCAATCGGCCCGAGTTGTTGTAACATCCATGTTTATCATGTTTATCCCAAAGGGTCTTTGCTCACAGTTTCACGCGGCCTTAGCTTTTCGAAACGAACGACCGCGTCTAATGAAAGGCCGCACTGTTATTCTCCATATTCTCCATAAGGATCCAGTAAACTGCGAGTGAAAAGCGCGGTGCGTCATTTGGCTAGAGCCAGTGCTGTAAGCGGTCACATTTTCTTTGATAATCGTCTGCCTTTGCTTCATACCAGAGACGATGTTATATAAATATAAGGCTCTGAACCATTTGGCGATTTTTTTTAACTTTTGGTTAAAATTTGACAGATGGAGGCGTGCGGAGAGAATAAAACTAAATCTGGTTGCACGGCAAGGTTTTTCTGCAAGGTTTGGCAACCCGTACTATTGTGTTTACTTCAAGAGACATTTAATTTGAGTGACTGTCGTCTGCTTCAGCATCATGGTAAAATGAATAATTTTTTAACCGTATCGGTAGTATCGCTATTCAATAAAAGTATTTGAAGAATCAATTTTTGACAACTCTAAGTGAAACCAAATATACCACATTGGAGGGTATATTCTACAGACCGTTGCACAAAATTATTCAATCTGCGATTGTTGCTTCCTATCATGTAGGGGAATTTACGTATTCTCGTCAATCTAAGCAGCGTCTGCACTTCTACTAGCATTTTCTCAGCGTCACGCACATATATGATGTGTCTGTTTGTTTACATTCATCTGCTGCTTGCTTCTCTATCCATTCCAATCGACAGAATTTTTCAAAACGTTTTGAAAGCGTTTTTACAACGCTCCAAACTTCTCAGGTGAGTGTGACTATTGTCGGCAGCCTCTTTTTCTTCGGCAACCTTCCCATTAGAACTGCGTGTTAACCAGCTGTTCTATTATCGGCAACTCTAAATCAACCCCATTTTGTAGTGCGTATGCTTTATTTGAAGAAAAATGTTGCATTACTGGATTGCTCGATCATTCAAATGTAATCAGATTGAAGCTGAAAGGCTAAACAATCGTTTGGACACATTCAGGGAAGTGCGTTGATGGGAAAACATAGTGAAATTAACGTTTAAATTTAGGTTGCCGAAACAGTCAATGGGTGCCGAAGCCAACATTTACCCTATTGAGGATCCAAGAGTAAACTCGTTAGTAATATGTTCAATGGAAGTTAAAGCATTAACACTATTTTTTAGATTTGTGACCGAACTTCAGTATTTGATTTGGGGTTACTTTGATAATGCTCGATGATTGTAGAAAAAAAAATGGGTGAAACTCAAACAATTTAGGTCTTAAAATATGAAACTATGAATGAGTATATAATCAGAAAACCTCATAAGCAATAAGAATACAACATTGAATTTGTTATGGCTCTATCAGAAATACATTTCATAAGTGATGGTATGAGTGCTTTTTCAAACAGGCGAAAAACACGAAACTAGTTTTTCAATATGTTACACATACTTTATAAAAATTATATACGATATCAACGGAAATACCCTAAGCTACAATATGGAACCAATTTTTCTAATTTGGGATAAGCGCAGCGAGTAAATTTAATCTTTATATCATACTATCAAAGTTACCCGCATTATCAAAGATACCCCGTTTTACGGTACTCTGAACTAGTGATGCACCGAATATTGCTATTCGGGCAGGTATTCAGCGTTTACAAAAAATGTTAACTGATATTCGAGCATTTCCCACCCAACAAGTGGCTGACAAAGTGTTTGAGCGGAATTTTGTGTCGGCAAAGTTTGATATTCGGCCTAAGCATCCGGCCGAATATTATGCTGGATGAATATTCGGTGTATCACCACTCTGAATGTTTCTTAGTTCCAACCAGGCATGGAAGATTATTTACATTTATTTCGTGCATTGATTTACATTCATTTGCCTCTATTTTTTCCATCAACAGATTTCCGTAAAATGATGTGTATGAAGCTTTTGTAGGTTTTAATATGAGCTACAACTTTTATCAATAACTCAAATCTGTTTCACATAAGCATGACGAACTAGAGCGGGAAGAACTTGTTATTGTTTTTCGATTTTTCCAATTCGTATCGATCTGGAAAGGAGCATTCTGGAAAATTCAAATTAATTTTATAAAAGAATAACAAGTGGATTATCAAGTGTTGGATGCATATGGTATTCCAACGCATGTCAGAGAAATAAACGCATTTCATTAAAGACACAGAGACGAGCGTATCCATTGTCTTTGATGAGAATGACTATCGGTTAACCCTTGCACTTGGCTCGTTAGCCTTTTCAATTTTCGCTTAACATTTGAAAAGGTCCTATATTTTTTTTTATAAACAAAACTTGTTAGGCCCTTTTCGCGCGAACCGAAGAAGAATTTCCCCTACCTGGTGGTGTTTTTGGTTTGCGTGGGCGTACTTCGGTTTCGCACGTAAAGTGCCTAATGAGTTTTGTTTACAAAAGTTCATAGGCTGTTTTCAAATCTTCCGCGAAAATTATGCCTAGTTTTAGTCATTTGTTTAGCTGTTCGACGAAGAGCCATCGGGAATTAATCAGTCTTAAATAAATTGCGTTGACTTCTACTCGGTCGTTACCAATGCGTAACTTTACGGTTGAAAATTAAACACCTTATATATATGATTGCCAAACTGGGACTGCGGAAAACTGCTGACAGGAAACTTCAAAAGCTGTCCATCAGCTGTAAATTGACTGCCTTCCGACCGAACCATAGCAACGATTTATTTCGGCGAAAGGGTTAATTGTTCCAAAAATTCCAAGCAAACGCACATAAACTTCATTGCATCATCCGGAAGACGGAAAACTTTTTGGGAATGATTGAGCTTCCTCCTGTTCCAATTTACGTATATATAGACACACTTAGATGAATTGCCCTTATCAAGGATGTCACGCAGCTTGTTATTCCAACGCTGGAGTAGAACATCGTTGCAATGATCAAACTACAAAAATATCAAAAGATTAAACAAATTTTGACTTTTAACTTTTTGCAGGCAACTTTGCCACCATTAATGCCGTCATAAAACTATACGGAATAGGATCAAGCAAAATAGCTGCAGATAAAAACAATCCAGTTTGCAAATTATCTTCAGACAAGCCGCATTAAAATGTTTAGCATATTTGTTAGAGATATCATGAAAGCAAAACAGCTTTTTCACGAATGGCTTATGGAAAATTAATATTAATGCTATCGCCATATTGTTATTATTCCATTTGCTTTTTTACAATCTTCGTTTTTCCTTTAAAATAACTTTATTCTCATCAATTCAATAATAAGCAGAAATAAAGATAACGATAATCTTCAAATTGTCTCAGCTAGGAACAATGATTAACATATAAAATAACTATATTTTGTTCCCTGAATTAAAAATGATTAGTCAAATCAACTTTTTCCGAAGGTGGCCTTATTTTTTTGATCTTTCGAAGCACATTTCACATTAGATTTAATCTGTCATCTAAAAATAGCCCTAATAAACAAGTACCATAAACGAACTGTATACCGGATGGGTAAACTATCCCACAAATGGTTTGGATGATACCCCGAGAACGTCGTTAAGCTCTCTTTTATGGTTATTTTTATTAGGGAGACCACAATATGAGTTTAGATAATTTTAGTTATTATTTCACTTTGACGGATTCATTTTTGAACAATGAATTTGGCAAGATCGGACGATATTTATGTATCCCTTTTGACGTAGGACTACGTCTGTGATTTCTTCATGGGGGTACACTTTGTGAAAACCAAAAATGGAACATGTAACAAAATTATGAAAGATTTTGTACGTTAATAACTCAGCTGCCCCTGGACCAATTTCAATAATTTTATCACCAATCGATCAGAAATATTTCTACGCATCCGTTTAATTTAAGACTTTATTATATTTCAAAATGTCACTATTAAAAATTGCACGAATGTGTAACAGTTGCTATGATTATCACCGTTTGCCTGCGAAAAGCGATTCCCCTAACACAGATTTCAATGTTGAATTCCATCCGGTCTCACCAAACAGTGTTTATTCAATCACCGCGTGGTGAGTGGTGGTACTTTCCAGAACACAACGATAGGCTCCCCACAAGCAGCTAGCTATCAAGGCTGGCCTCAATCGATGATCGGATTCAGTTCCAATCACCTTGTGCGGTGGTGTCTGGTCGTCGGCATTAGCAGCAGCAGCAGCAGTGCTTTCAGTGCGTGGCTGCAGCCCACATGAGCATCCATAGAAGGAGTAAGAAGCCACACCGCTATTGATCGGAATCTGTAGCTCTTCGTGAGTCGCTGTGGGCCATCTATGTCAAGTGCGTCATACTAAAGAGTATAAATAGAGATAACCCCGCTCAAATTCCTATTCCTACACGCAGGCAAAAGAACGAACGAATTCCATAAGAAACACTTATGAATTTTAGCCAAAAGAAATCAGTATGAATTTCATTGATTTGCCTTATGCAATATAATGTTGACAAAAAAATAATAAATCGGAACAGACTTGAACCGAACCATGGACGTTGAGAATACGGGGCCATATGTTGACCACTCGTCTTTCAACGCTTGAAAAATGGAGTGGTTAAATGCGTACAAGAGCTACCTCATGTTATCCGGAACTCATTCATAAGTCACGGTTATGCAATTCATATTTGTTGTTCATAAGGCGAGCCTTATGAAATTCTTAAGTCTATTTGCCTCAGTGTACACTGAGGTAAATAAAATTAAGAATTTCATAAGGCTCGACTTATGAACAACACATATGAATTTCATAAGCGTGACTTATGAATGATTTTCGGGTCACATGAGGTAGCTCTTATACAGCTTTAACAATTGCATTTTCCCAAGCGT